CTTCTTGTGTTGCCATCTTAAGCAATTTCCATTCTAATACTCTCTTCTTACTAATACTAATACCCTTGATCTAGTAACCAAGTCATGGTTTGAAATGAGAGAGTGCCAGAAGAATAAGCATATATTGTTTTTTCAATTTGGAAAAACTGAAGGAAAGTGAACCCAAGTGATTGTGTTATTTAGTGAGATTGTAGTCTGGACAAATGAACCAAAGCCTTTTCAAAGGCAGCATAACACTATGATTAATCTAGCAAAGAAAACACAAGAGAAGTTAAAAGAACTGGCCAGGCAAACCAATGACAGAGGCAGGTGGTGACAAAAGCATTTGCAGCTAGAAAGCTTGTTCTAATCCTATCAGCAGATTGTTTGCAAACATCAGAAAAGATGAGATTATTTTATAATATAAAACCAAGCAGAAGGGGTCCAACTCCATGCACAGGGAAAAATAAATGTATACAGTTTAAGCCTGTATGTAAAGATTCAGTTTACATATTTATTTTTGCCACCAACACAAAATCATAGAAAGTTAGGAATGGAAGGGACCTCAGAAAGTCATTTAGTCCAAACCCCTGCCCAAAGCAGGGCCAGCCCCAACTAGATCATCCCAGCCAAAGCTTTGTCTAACTGGGTCTTGAAAACCTCCAAGTATGGAGCTTCCACCACCTCTCTGGGTAACCTGCTCCAGTGTTTTACTATCCTCCTAGTGAGAACATTCCTCCTAATATCTAACCTAAACTTCCCTTGCTGCAACTTGGAGACTGTGGCTCCTTGTTCTGTCTTCTGCCACCACTGAAAACAGTCCAGCTCCATCCCTGTTCAGATAGTTGAAGGCTGCTATTAAATCCCCTCTCAGTTTTCTCTTTTCTGGACTAAATAAGCCTAGTTCCCTCCATCTTTCCTCATATGTCATGTGCCCCATTTCAGTGGAGGGCAACAAAAATGGTGAAGGGACTCTTTCCAATTTGTCCACATCTTCTGTAGTGGGAGGCCCAAAACTGACCACAGTACTCTAGATGTAGCCTCACCAGTGCCGAATATAGGGGAACAATCACTTCCCTTGACCTGTTGACAACACACGTAGCAATGTAGCCCAATATGCCATTAGCCTTCTTGGCAACAAGGGCACACTACTGGCTCATATTCTGCTTATTGTCCACTGTAACTCCTAGGCCCCTTGCTGCAGAGCTGCTGCCCAGTCAGCCCCCAGCCTGTACTGGTGCATGGGACTGTTCCATCCTTGTTGAAAACCATGAGATCCCTTTTGGCCTGATCCTCCAATTTGTCCACTAGATTCTGAATCCTAGCCCTACTCTCCAGCATGTCTACTATTCCCCCCCAGCTGGGTGTCACCTGCAAACTTGCTGAGGGTGCACTCCATCAACAACTTGGAAGGTGACAAAGACATTGAACAAAACCAGCCCCTGGACCAACCCCTGCCTGGGGCACTCCACTTGATACCAGCTGCCTACTAGCCATTGAGCCATTGATTAGCTGGAGTATCAGGCTCAGAGAGTAGTACTTTTCTATCCACCTTACAGTCCATTCATTCAGCCTATACTTCTTTAGCTTGCCTGTGAGAATGCTAAAATCAAGGGTACTACACCACGTCCACCAGTCTCCCCGCATCCACAGGGCCTGTCACCTCATCATATAAGGCAATCAGATTGGTCAGGCCCTGGTGAATCCATGCCGACTTGTTCCTAATCACCTCGTGATCCAAGTGCTTAAAATGGATTCCTTGAGGATCTGCTCCATGATTTTTCCAGAGACTGAGGTGAGGCTGATTGATTTGTAATTCCCTGAATCCTCCTTTTTCCCTTTCTTAAATATAGGCACTATGTTTACCCTTTTCCAAATCATCTGGGACCTCTCCTGATCACCATGAGTTTTCAAAGATGATAAAAGATGACTCTGGAATTGCATCGGCCAACTCCCTCAGCACCCTCAAGTGCATCCCATCTGATCCCATGCACTCGTACATGTCCAGCTTTTCAAAGTAGTCCCTAACCTGTTCCTTCACTACCGAGGGCTGCTCACCTCTTCCCCAAATTGTGCTGCCTGGTGCAATAGTCTGGGAGCTGACCTTGCCTGTGAAGACCGAGGCAAAAAAGGCATTGAGCACTTCAGACTTTTCTGCATCCTCTGTCACAAGGTTGCCTCCCCCATTCAGTAATGGACCCACACTTTCCCTGATCCTCCTCTTATTACCGACATACTTGTAGAAAATCTTCTTGTTACCCTTCACATCCCTTGCTAGCTACAACTCCAACTGCGCTTTGGCCTTCCTGACTTCATCTCTGCATACTTGGACAAAGTAGGGAGAAATATAAGAGCATTGCTCAAGTTTCCATTTCTTATAATCTTCCTTTCTGTGATTTACTTTACTGAAGAGTTCCCTGCTAAGCCTAGCTGGTCGTCTGCCATACTTGCTAGCCTTCCTGCATATTGGGATGGTTTGTTCGTGCACTCTCAGTAAGGATTCTCTGAAGTAAGCCAGCTCTCCTGGAGTCCTCTCCCCTTCAGTCTGGCTTCCCAAGGGATCCTGCCCATGAGTTCCGCGTGTGTGTCAGAGACTTCTTTTCTGAAGTCCAGGCTCCTTACTCTGCTGCTGTCCATCTTTCTTTTCCTCAGGATCCTGACCTCAATCATTTTGTGGTCACTGCTGCCCAAGTTGCCATTCACTGTGCAAAGCTTTGGTACCCAATTTGATTCAGCAGAGATTCAGCCCAATTCAGTGGCCAAATCTCCGAATTGAATTGGAGGACCCTCTGATTCAGACAGACACAGCTTTAAATGTTCTTTCTACATACCGCTAGGTAGCAGGAGGCTCCTGAGTGCTGCAATGCTGGGGTACATGGAGTGTCCCACAGAAGCACAGGACATCCCCAGCATGCTTGGCAGCAGACTGGCAGTGGACCAAAAGCACTTCCGGTCCACTTCCAGCTCTGCTGGGGAGCGCAGAGGAGGGGCCCCCTGTGACTGGTGCTTTCTGGGCCTGGGGGCATGTTGGGGACACCCGGGGTCCCCCTGTAGCCAATCACCGAGCCGGGGTGGGTGCAGGGGGCCCCCAGCACGCTCCCTTGGCAGACCCAGAAGTTGACAGAACTACTTCCAGTCCACTTCCGGATTTACTGCTGAGCACGTGGCGGGCCTCCCCGCACTTCTGTGGGACGCTCCATGCGCCTCAACATCACAGCAATTACAAGCTGCACCTGCTACCTCAAGTTATGTAGAAAAAAACTTTTAAAGCTGTCTATGCCCAAATTGCTGATTGTCTGAGTTAGCATCAAATCTTCAGATTTGGATTTGACCAAATCAAAACTAGGGACAGTAATCCAAATCAATTAAATCGAATCGCTGTCCCCGATTCAGGCTGAATCTGAATTGAATAGGGCCTGCTTCACACACCCCTACCACATTCCCCACTTCTTCCCAGTTTGTGAGCAGCAGGTCAAGAAGAGCATGGTCCCTAGTTGGCCACTCCAGCACTTGCACCAAGAAGTTGTCCCCAACACACCCCAGAAACTTCCTGGATTGCCTGCACACTGCTGTATTGCCCTCTCAGCAGATGTCAGGGTGATTGAAGTCCCGCATGAGAACCAGGGCCTGTGATCAGAAAACTTCCACTAGCTGTTTGAAGAAGACCTCATCCACCACTTCCTTTTGGTCTGGTGGTCTATAGCAGCCTCCCACCACATCACCCTTGTTGCTCTCCCCTTTGACCCTAACCCAGAGACTCTCAACAGGCCTATTTCCAGCTTCATACTGGAGCTCTGAGCAATCATATGGCTCTTGTACATAACGTGCTATTCCTCCTCTTCTCCCCTGCTGGTCCTTTCTGAACAGTTGGTACCCATCCATGGCAGTGCTCCAGTCATGCAAGCTATCCTACCTAGTCTCTGTTATTCTAATCATGTCATACGTCTGTGACTGTGCAACGACTTCCAGCTCTTCCTGGTTGTTTCTCAGGCTCCATGCATTCATGTACAGGCACCTAAGGTAACTAGTTGATTGCCCTTTCTCAGGAAGTATGAGAGCACCTCCCCTGTCGCCCCCTCTTGCTTGCTGTTCCTTCAGGTCTCCCACTTACCTCAGGGCTTTGGTCTCTATCCCTCAGCAAACCTAGTTTAAAAGCCCTCCTCACTAGGTTAGCGAGCCTATCTGTGAAGTCTGTCTTCCCTCTCTTCATTAGGTGGATCCCATCTCCAGCAATCCTTCTCCTTGGAAGAACATCCCATGGTCAAAGAAGCCAAGTCCCTGCTGGCGATAGCACCTCTACATCCAGGTGTTGGTTTGCAGGATGCACCTGCTCCTGCCCCGGCATTTTCCTGTGACCAGATCAATGAGAACACAACCTGAGCCCCAGACATGTTCACGCTTGCATCCAGAACCCTGTAGCCACTCTTGATAAGCTCAGGGTCTCCCCTGGCAGTAATCAGTGGTGCCCACATGGATAAAAGCAGCATGAGGTTGTAGTCAGAGGGCTGGATGAGCCTCAGTAGTTTCTCCGTAACATCCCGGATCTGGGCTCTGGGCAAACAGCAGACCTCCCAAGGCAACAGGTCAGGTTGGTAGATGGCTCCCTCCGTCCCTGGCAGAAGGGAGTTTGCAACCACTACCACCTGTCACTTCTTGGTGGTGGCTGTCTCGATCCTTCCCACCTTGGTAAGACCTGGCCTGTCTTCCTCCACCAATGGAATGTGCTCCTCCCTCTCTGCTGCTAGGGCTACATATCTGTTCTTCAGATGAACAACTGCAGGTAGGGATGAAGAATACAGTGGATGGGGTGGAGAGTCCAGCGATGCTAGCTACAGTGATCCTATACCTTCCAGTTTTCTTAACTGAACGCTGCAGTTGTCATAATCAGTCCAGTTTTTCTGGAAGCCAACCATAAAATTTAACGCAATAAATAATCGTTCATTTACTGAGAGAAGGGAACTGTGTGTGTGTGTGTTGGGGGGGTGCTGTTTTAACAAAAATGAAGTGCTACATTTGGATCACCAAGATTAATTTATTATAAAAAGACCAAAGCAATGAAGCCAAAGTAATGAGGTCATCTCCCCAAATCCTCAGTGAACACACAAATCAGTTGTATGTTTAATCCATTCCTCAATATGAAGAAATACTTCAGAAAAGAGTTGCATACAGTCTGAGTTTTAGCTTAATTTTCATTTCACATGTGAACGCCCAATCACCTTTCCATCACTTAAAAAGAAACAGTAACTTCTTCAACCACTTCTGAATTTTCTTTATACAATCACAAGTCGATAGTTCCTTTTACTTTGAACTTTTTTGCTGATCGTTCGCTTGCTCTAAGCTGAAACTTACTTCCATAGATGTAGGAAATAAAGCCATCAATCTCTATGCTAAATACATTATTAAACTTGGGAATAACTGAAAGAAAAGAAAAAAAAGGTTAGAAACAAATATACTAGGGCATTTATACATATGCTCTGGGAGTGTGTGTGTGGGGGCCCTTTAATTGGGACAGCTCTGAAAGCTGCTCTTTAAAATTAAAGTGCCTGGAGCATCATGTGTATCAGCATCCCTGCACTGAAAAATGACAGCAGGGGCACTTTAACAGAAGCTCGAACAAGCTGTAGTTAAAGCACCCCTGCTCCCATTCTTCAGCGCGGGGACACTGATGCGTGTGACCCTGGAGTCTGCTGGAGTGTGGTAATTACCATGGTCCACTGTAATTACAATGCGACAGAACAGCCCCGCTGCATTTATATAGGCATCTCTAGTGTAAGTCCTCTCTACAGTAGAATTCTGCTGCTGCACTATCAGACTTTGTTCTCATGCCCTCTTTCAAGGTTTTGGCACCTTGATATAGGAGCAGGGGAAGAAGGTGAACACTTAGTATTACCAGGCCTTCTTTCAATTACACCAATGGTCAGGAACACGCTACATACACCTTGCAAAGAGCACTGGAAGTGACAAACTCAGAGCAACACAAACAAACTAGTTTCAGGGAGTTTTTTTGCCACTTTCCACAAACTGACCTTTCCAACTTAAGTACTGTCTGCAAGGTCTTGTATATCTGGTCATTTCTGCCAGCTACACTCAGGTACTAATATGAGAACCCAAAATACTGAGAAAAAAAAATAGTACATGACAGCAAGTTCTCCTACATTTCTTTGCCATTTTGATATACAAACAATACATGTACTTAAAATGTGAATAGTACAGACAAAAGATCATGCTACATACTCTTTAATTTGTCCTCTTTAGTGATAATTTTGAAAATGTGTTTCATTTCCTGTAGAATGATTCCTGTAACCCCAACATAAGAGGGGCATTTTGATTTTGTCACTAAACAAAAACAAACAACCATATAGCCATGTATTAGTGGAAGAATTTTTAAATGAAAGTGATTTGATTACAAAACTATAGCAGTATCACAACTTTAAGAGGCAGTTTATAATATTTCAGAATGAACATGTGATTTTATTTCAAATTTGGCTTCACACAGTAATTGGTGGATACTTGTAGCTGAGCAAATGTTCCCATAAGAGCTAGGAAAGGAAATATCATGGGTGAGCGGGAAGAGAACTGGTCAATATATTACCTTACTGCTTAACCCTAAAATAGCTGATATTTGAAAAAAGTTAAAAACAAACACTTGATTTCAAGGGATATTAAACAAACTGATTTAGATTTGACAGAAGTTAATGAAAAGAAATATACAGTTAAAAACTGAAAGTTCCTTTAAAGCTTTAATAGAATCCTTGAGAGAGACAAAAAGTGTTGATACCTGTAACAATAGCTCCATGAAGATCAGCTTTTAGCAGTTTGGTCTGAATCATCTGTGGTTGCCTGAAAAAACAAACAAACAGTAAAAATGTTTAAATCAGTCTGTATTTATAAAAAAGGACCGTTGTGATGTTATTCAGTAAGTGTTTATGCTTACAGAAATGTGGAAAGACATGTTTGTGTAAAAATATTCTATGTAGTCGAATTAATATTTAGGGCAATTCCCCTGTGGTCTTTGCAGGTTCTTTCGAATCCATCCCTTTCATGTTCATAAACTCAACTTACGCCTCTGGTCTGAGTCCGTTGCACAGGTCCCGGATGTATTGTTTCCACAGCTCATGTAACGGAAGAAATAACTCATACCTATAGCATAACCAACAAAATGAGAGATCATACAAGAAAGACTTTTCATTAGTTAAAAAAAACAACAGCTTGACTACCAACGTGATCCATACTTGCAAACAAAGTTAAAGACTTGTATTTGTTACGTTTCTTCTTTTATTTGTTCCTATGACATTATTGGCTATGTTGTAAGTTAGCGGTACTTAAACTGCAGCCAGATCCAGCCTGCAGATATGCCATCCAACCCACGTGGCTCCCCACAGTTCCACAGATTTGATGGTGGGGGGGGGGAGCAGTGATGATTTACACTGCCATTCTTCCCCTGGCTCCAAATTTACAAGCCCCCTGTGTGGGACAGTGGCCTCAATCCAGTGCGTGCAGGGCCAGGGTGGCAGGCCCAATCTGGCATGCACAGAGCAAGGGCCATGCATTGGATCTAGCCTACAGACCAACCCTGCATCATTCATCTGGCCCACAGGGCAGGAAATGTTGGAAACCACTGTCGTAAGTCATTCAAAAATTGCAAGAATACTTACTTCAAGAAGACCAGCACTAACGTGCTGCCTCTGTATTTACTAGCGACGCTGCTAACAGACCTAACTGAGGAAATTACTGTTTGCCATGCTTAGAAGCACATACTTTTTTTTCCCCCCGTCAACTTAATTTCATATCAACTACAGCTGGGTTACAAAGAAAATGTATTTTAATAGAGTATGTTATGTAAAGTGTGACAGTTTATCTGGTCATAATTAACCATCAACTGTAGTTACTAGTCTCTGTGCGGTCATTTGAACACGAACAGCACAAAACAACTAACTCTGCTAAATAATAGATTAATAACTTTATAAGCAAAATGATTAGCATCAGACATGCTGTTGCCTGCACATTTTTATTGATAATTCAAGTAAAGAAAACCTTTGAGATCTTACTTCTGTTGTTCTGGTTTAATTTCAAAGAGCCGCATTTCTCTTCTCTGCTTGGCAGAAAACCCCTTTGTTTTGTTTCTTTTCTCCTTCTTCTTTCTTCTCCGATAATGCCGAAGAACTACAGCTTTTCGAGTTAATTTATCCTGGATAGCTTCATCTTTCATTTTTGGCATACTACGCTTCAGAAAGGCTTTTACGAAAGCTTCAGCCTGCTTTGATCCTTGAGGCTAAAAAACAAGTTACCAGTCAAGAAAACCATATAACTGACTGGAGGTTTCATCAGAACCCTACGCCATTATAGTACTTAGAGACCTGCAGATGAATCACAGAACAAATGGAAATAGTTTTAAAGGATAAACTCAATTGTATTCCAATTATACAAATATGCATCTCAAAGTAGATGAAGGGATGACTCTAGAACTGAGATGACAATTTAGTTTACACGGCTATACATTTTTCATCTGAAGGGGCCAAAAGCATGCCAAATTAATGCCAATTGTAGCTGCCTTGTGTGTCAAGGAAGTCTATTCGCAGTAAGTTAGCTATGCAAAAATGGTTAAAAATAGCTTGCATACTACCTTGAAATTATTTTTGATAACTTTTCAGTTCAGATAAGTCACTGCTTACAGGTAACTTCATAGGTTTCTAACTTTAGACTCTCAATAGCCAAGAGTTCAAAGTTTATAGAAACGTGTGAGGTACCCAGTAGCTCAAGACATAATTCTTAACATCCTGATTTTCATGCTGATATTCTTTATCATGAAAGAAAAAACATAGATGTAAAAAAATTGTCTGTACAAAAAAAGTGACTTGAGATTCCTCCCCCACCCTATGAAGTGCCACAGGTTTAAGTCTTTTCCCCAACACAAACCATACCGTCACAAACCACATACAGCTGTTTCAAATTTAATATGCAAGTGCACACCACTAATACAAGACAGTTTAATCTTTTTCCACATTTCCTGTAACACAAAATCAAGGGCAACACACTGCAATTTTGGCTCTGTTTTCAGTGCAAGCACTTTTCAAATATTTCAAGCATCACTATTACACACGCCTCAAAAAAAAAAAAAA